CTTTGTCCTTCTGAACGAGGGATAAAAAGGGTTAGGTCCATTAAAAATAATTCATAACTGGCCAACTTTGGAACCAACATCAGTCAAAATAAACCAGAGAAGCAACCCCTCTGGCTACGCTAAGCACAGGACCCGACAGATTCTTGTTAGGAAAGGCGGCAAAGCTGTTTTTCCTCCACCACTAAGGGAAAAGTCATTCTTCACAAAGGAGGTTCTGAGTTGCCTCTTTAAATTAAAAGGACTTGTCTTGCCACTTTGGGAAGAGGAGATTAGCTTTTGAGCAGGCTTTCTCTCCCACCCTCCCTCCCTCCCTCTCTCTCCGCACTGCCTGGGTCCCCCGTCAGGCCCAACCTCTTCTCTGGGGCTCAATTCAATTGTTGCTGTTAAGTAGAGCAGGTCGCCTTAAATCCTGGAGCTCGTTAAGTCGACTCGTACATGTAGGTTCCCAGGCAGAGCCATCCTGACGGGGACCAAAGTTGGCTGACCACTTGGAAATCAGTTAAATAGTGAATCTGCTCCCAGGTTGCGTCCATAAACTGGAAAGAAGTTATCCAAGCTGCAGAATATATTTTAGAGGGAAAGGCCGAGCGCTTTGGACCGCTCTGTAAAGTCTGGAGTAAAACCCCAGAGCGGATTCACCACCCCATCGATGCTGAACCCACCAGCCTTTTCTGGTGGCGGGCTAGCAACTGAAAGCAGCCTCACCTGCCAGCCGTGTGGCTCAGAAGGTCGTTGGAAATGGTCTAGGACGCCCTAACAAGCACTCAGAACCGAGGTGGGCCAAATGCAGCCCCCCAGAGGTTGCTGACTTCAACCCCCATCATTCCCCAGACCGCATAAGCAATGGTCGGGAACGCCGGGCGTTGCAGTCTAGCAGCACCTGGAGGAAAGGAGGTCGGCGACACACACACCCCCCAAATCAGAGCCGCTACAGGGACCACAATTTAAGACCAGAAATAATTTAAGAGCCGATGTCAGCAGGATCCCAGGATCCTGTGAGGATTTTTAGCATCAGCGGCTGAAAACACGCAAGCCTTCAAAGAGAAGTCCCTCTTCAACCTCCCGCTCACATCCATCCATCGTGCTACAATTAATGTTTTTCTGGCATCTGTTTTTCCCTTTTTAATCTTGGGGGAGGGGGGAAATCAGCAAAACAGGCACTTTTTTTTTTATCAAGCAGACCAGAAGTGTGGTGGAAGGGGGGGGGGAGGATCGAAGTGGTGGCTAAGGAACGTCCGAGTTTGCTTGCAAAGTTTTAACTCGTAAAAAGAAGAGAGGGTGCCAGCCCTTTGCCTGAGGTTTGCGTTGCTGTTCCACACCTCACTGGATCTTTATTTTCTAATACCGGGGGACTCTGAACACAGAACTGGCCGAGGTTTGGTAGTTGTGGCAGCTTTGGAAAACGTCCCTCTTGACATCTTCAGAGGAACTCGCAAGGACCTGCCGACGAACCCAGTCTTCTCAAAGCGACGGTGGTGCTCTCGTTAAAAAAGCATCAACGCTGTCCATCGCTCCTTTGGGGTCAAGCACGTGACACAATTGCACAGCCAAGAACACACCTTCAGGCCACGTTCTAGGAAGTCTTAAGGAGAGAAGAAGAGGCTTGGGAAACAAAACTAGCCCAACCTGAATGGTACGCCTTTCTTGTCCAAGCCGCCCTCTCCGGGCGCACTTCTTGCAGCTACATAAACAGAAAAGTTCTCCCATGTCCATGAAGTCTCCGAGAGTCCATGGTTGTCATCCTGTCCAGATCCAGATGTGTCCGATCGCAGGTGTGCGTCTCCCTTCCCTTTGGCGAAGGTTCCAGAACCCCGGCGTACGGACGGAGGGTGCAGGCGGACGCCCAAAGTTGCATGGAATTGTCTTGTAGAGACTGCTTTGCCCTGGAAGATGTTCTTGCCCAATGTCAAGTCTTTCCCTGGAAAACTGTAGGCTTCCTCTGGGATGCTGCCGTGGTCCCAGTTAAGTGCAGCTGGAAAAGTCTTGCGAGAGGCCCCGTCTTTTGTCAGACCACTGCAAGGAAAGCACACATCAAACGGTCTTAAAAGGAGGGAAGAAATTCATGCAGCCAATGTAGCCTTACCGTCACTCAAGGAGTGAATTCCAGGATGGCCCCAAAAACGGTGGCTTGAAAAGGGAATCAGGCAAAGCAAGGGAAGGGTGGGGGGCCATCGGTCACGACCGCTCAAGAAAACCACCTCCTTCAGAGGACTTCCATCTCTGGCCACCCCACCCCCTGGGAGGAAGAGGAGGAGGAGGAAGCCCAAGGGAAGGTTGCCCTCCCCACACACACAATTCCTTGTGTCAAAGCTCCCGCAGGCTTTCCACTGTCCTGCATCAGAGGGAGGATACTGGACTGTGACCTTCTCCGACAATGCTGTTCTTACATACTTAGAAGCAAGGAACTACATTTCAAAGAAGTCGGATGTGCCCATAACCAGAGACGTATCATCTATTTGGCTTTTAAGGCCCCCCCTGCCCCCCCAGGGAAGCTGCTTTTGTGGGTACCTGTTTCTGAGTGGCAGCAAGAGGATCCACCTTTCAGGAGGCCGCTGGGCTTCTCATGCCTGCAGACGACGGTCCTGCACCAACCACAGTGCTTCCTTACCCTGCAGCAGCTGCAGAAACACAACCATGGAAAGTTACAGCCTTCGGCTGGGGAGGGGGGGGTTAAGGAATGAGGCTGGGGGTGTCCGCTGAAGGGGAAGAAAGCAGCCGCTGGAAACACCTTTCATGGGGCAGAAGAGGGAATGTCTTCTGCGCTGAAACTGTGTCATGACCCCAGCGCACGGTTTCCATGCCCCCAATATGAAGGTTTGCTTTAAATTGTGATTGGTCATCAGCAGGTAAACACAGGCTCCATTTACAATTACAAGCACTAAGTCATAAGTTCTGCCGGCATTGCGTCTCTGGAAGGCGGTGACATGTTTTCAGTTTCTAACAACGGGGCATCTGTAACCTGTTTTCTGACCCCGAGTTTCCATGGCCCTGAGCAGATCTGGACTCTCTCACAACCTCTTCTGAGGAGGCTTCCCTTCTCTGCCACTGGCTAAGAACCAATCCAGACCTCTATATCCCCAGCCAGATATGGGTGTTTAATGGGGAAAGATTGTTATAACGCTTCATACCTTTGCACAGAGCTAAAAGAGCAACGGGTGGCCGACTCTTGATTAGGTCAAGGTCTTCGTTCTCCATGTATCCAGCTGACTTCAGTTCATTTGTTTTGATAGAGCTATACTTGCTGGACCTTGAACAAGGCTTCACATATTTCTAACCTGGACTCTGAAACTATTACAGGAAAAGTTTTGTAACAGAGTCCAGCCACCGCTGGGCTTTGGGGCAAAACCAGCTATACATCTAGTCTGAATTAGTTGTTTATGGTACTCCTCCCTCACCATTCTTCCTGGAAACTCAAAGCAGCATGCTTCGGATTCCAGATGGGTTTCCCGTCCAGGCACTGACCAGCCCCAGGCCTGCTAAGCTTCAGCCAGCTTGCAGACGTCACACCCCACCGGACCAATTCCAGGAGGTTATGCGATTCTGGTGTGCATGACTGTAGGAGATTATATGATTCTGGTGTGCAAGAAACATCAGCCTTAACCCATGGAAATGCTGCTGGCCCCCAACCTCCTGTGCTGGAGGTAAGGGTCAGGAAAAGACATCCTCTCCTGCCTGCTTAAGCATGCCAGCAAAAAACACACTCCCCTGTGCTACTTCTGCAGGCCGTCCACCACTTTACTGCACACATGCAATTTTTAAGAGCCATATATAAAAATAAAAATAAGGTCAAAATAAAAACCACAAAAATGTGCCTTCTAAAACAAATCGCAAAAGTACAGAGGAACAGTTCTCCAAGCAATTGTTTTAAAAGACCTGAGTCAGCTTCAAACTTATCAGCAAATATAGATTTCAAAAAGCAAAGTGCGCCGCTTATATACCACCCCATAGTGCTTAAAGCAATCTCTGGGCAGTTTAAAATTTTAATTATGCTGACTACACATCATCACCGCCTCCTCTGCCCTGTGAGCTAGGCACTCATTTTACCAACCTCAGAAGAATGGAAGGCTGAGTGAACCCTGAGCCAGCTACCTGAGATTGAACCTGGTTTGTGAGCAGAGTTTTGGCTGCAGTACTGCAGTTTAACCACTGTGTCACGGGGCTCCTTTTAATAGCAAGCACAAACAAACAAAATTCTTTTTAAAGACATATGTGAGAACAACAGTGCACTCGTGCGTGTGCTTACATCATACTTTGTTCCACATAAAGCAAATGGCCTGGCACACAATGATGATTCAAACTCTGGTGCAGGAGCCCCGATACCTACTGTATTAAGACGCACACCCCGATGAGGACAACCGAGGCGATCACAGAAACCACCACCAAGGCGGTGATGGTTTGCTTCTTTTGGTTGGCCGCTACGACCGCAAGGAGATCGGCGTGTTCGCATCTGGTCCCGACAAACCCAGAGTGACAACTGGGAGGAGAAAGGAAAGGGGGGAAAAAGCAATAAGTGAAACTCAAAAAACACTATTTGCATGCTTGTGGGTGGGTGTTTTTCTTAATTCTGTGTAGCTCAGTGGTTTAGGTCTGGTTGGGAGTTCAATTCCCCCCACTGGGCCTCCTTAATGGGGGTTGGACTTGATGATCCTTCCAGCTCTGCAGTTCTCTAATTATTTTATCATTATTAATGCAAGAGTTGAGCTAAGCACAGAGTTCCTATTCAGAGCCCAAGTGGAATTTTGTCTAATTTGAGAACTGGAACAGCCAGGACTCAAGAGGAAAGACAGGCAGGCAAACCACAGACACTGTAAGTTGGATTCTATTGGCCACGTGAGCTGGGGCTGATGGGAACTGGAGTCTAGAACAGACATTCTCAACAGAGGCCCCACAATAAAAAGGTTGAGAACGGCTGCTCTAGAAGGTGTCGTCATCCGGGTGGAAGACTAACCCCGTTGAACGGTCCTGCCCTCCTGCTTTCTATTCCGTCCCTTTTTCCAAGGACTTCCCACCCGATGACTTGGTTTCGTTCGTGCCACCATGCAGGGATACCCCTCCCCCAATTTTTAAGCAAGCAAGCGTACATTCGAATCGCGAAAGAAGCCACCTCTCTTTGCCTTCTCCGTGGGCCCCACAGCTCTCAAGCCCTCCAAGAGGCCATGATCCGAAGCCACCCTACATGCGCTTTCTTGATGCCACCCCCCACCTCCACTCCCACCCCCCCACCCCCTGTGAGTGGTGGCCCTTTCCAGAGGCAAGAGGCAAAGACTTACACGCATGCCGGTTTTTCCTCTTGGACCACGAACCGGCATGTCCCGTGGAAACAGAAGTGACTGTGGGCATCTGGACAACTGTTAAAGTGGGACCTCACAGCTGCTGCCACTGGGGGACCTGGAACGAGGAGGAGGAGGAGGAAGAGGAGACAGGTCAGCCTTCCATGCTATGGCCAACAGCCTCCTTCTCCCCCAATGGGGAGAAAGGAAGCCTATAAATAAAATAACTAACGAACAAGAAGTGCAATATTCTGGCTTGTGTCAACAAATGGCGCTTTGCATTTCTGGAGCATCTGCAAGCTGCATTTGAACGTTTTACTGCCTTTGCCTAAGTAATCACCCATGAAGCTTCCATTATTCCCATTTTACAGGTGGAGAAGTCAAGGTGAGCTGAGCAAGGCTGTGCCTGTCCCAAAGGCTAGGCTTCCATGACAGACAGGACTATAAACCTTGAATGGCTCTCAGGTTTTAATTGGCAGAAGCATTCCTGAGCTTTAGTCCACTTCTTCTGATGCACGGAGTGAGGTCTTCAGGGGATGAACTCTATAAAAGCCAAAGGAAAGGTACCACAGTTTTCTAGTCGTTTTATAAATCTGCTTATTTTCCAGCAGCAAGACACTGTGGGGGTGGAAACCTTCCCCTTTTCTTTTCCTAATGCTTCACCAAGTCCCTTCCTTAGGAAACCAATGCATTGTTGGCTCTAAATGCCCTACCCGGTTGGCAATGACTTCATGAGCATTTGCACATTTTCCCTCCAAAGACTTCACGCACTCAGAGCTTCATGCTCAAGCCATCAACTTACAAAGGAAACTTTTGATTTTTCCCGATGACTAACCAACAAAGCAAAACTAAGCTAATCCGCCACACAAGGAGCCGAGGAAATTCTTGCTAGGATAAATGGCAAGTTTTAATCTCCTAAGGGAGCTCTACTTTGAGGAACAATCTCCAGGTATCATGCAGTTTTGTCATTCTGAAATGTCCCAAACCATGGCCTAAGACAGAAGAATAAAGAGGAAGGCGTTGTGTACTAAACACTGAACTGATACGGGTGTAAATTTCAGAACATAACAGCAAGTTGAAGGGTTTGTTTCTCCTCAACAAAATTTCAAAGACAAATTGACAGAATCAATGAACAACAATAAAGCTTGTTATTACATCTCAAAGGGTCCTTTAAGCCAAAGGGTTTCCCCTCGACAAAATTTCACAGACAAATTGACAGAATCAAAGAACAACAATAAAGCTTTGTTATTACATCTCAAAGGGTCCTTTAAGTGCTATCAGGAGAGGAAGCTGAACACGTTCCATAGCTTTATCTAATACTTAAGGCACACTCCTGTACTGCAGTGTGTCCTGGACCCTTCGTGCACGGCAGGAGAGGAAGCTGAACACGTTCCATATGCGTTGCCTCCAACATATTTTTTTTGTATCACCTGGCAGTTCCAAATAGAGTAGTCCTAGAACGAGCTGGAATTTTTAGCATATATACATTACTGAAACAGCGCCGTCTACGTTGGCTTGGGCATGTTGTGAGAATGGCTGATGGCCGGATTCCAAAGGATCTATGGAGACTGAGTGCGGGGAAATTGCCCCAGAGGGATACCACAGCTGCGATACAAGGAGATCTGCAAGCGGGATCTGAAGGCCTTAGGAATAGACCTCAACAGATGGGAAACTCTGACATCTGATCGTTCAGCCTGGAGGCAGGCGGTACATCACAGCCTCTCCCAATTTGAAGAGACCCTTGTCCAGCAGGCCGAGGCAAAGAGGCAGTCAAAATCAGGGAACTGGACAGGGGACAGTTTGTATTTGTCTTCAGTGTGGAAGGGATTGTGTTACTCTTGAATTGGCCTCCTCAGCCACACCAGATGCTGTTCCAAGACCTCTATTTAGAGCATGTTACAGTACTATAGTCCCTTGAGACTGAAGAATGCCTAATCTGAATACTTAATCACTGTTAAGGGGTGGGGTGGGGAAACCCTTTGGAAATAAGGAGGAGTGTGTTTGGGATAACCTTTTCAAACCCATCCCCCCAATTTTCCCACAGCTGTTCCTCACATCCTGGACCATTTTAACTTGCAGTCCCTCAGTCCACACAGACAAGAACATCCTGCCTTGTAAATTAGCCCCCGGTTGAAAGCACACCCGATTTCCATTTTCTCAAGTTCCTGTTTCAGAAAGCTAATGGCAGATCAGGCAATAAACCTAATTAAAACCACAGTCAAATCTTTCAGGGCAGCTCTGGAAAAAAAAATCAAACATCTTTAAACATCTTTCCTCCTAGGGCTTGGTTTCCAGCCCCCCTCATCATCATCCTTGTGGCCCTTCTCTGAACTTGCTCCAGTTTGTTTGTTGGAGTCCATTTTCAGATACGCATGAAGAAAAACGGACAAAAGGGTAGTGTAAGCAAAGGAAGCCCGTGCATAAAAAGGATGTGGAGAAGCACCGCGTCTGCTCTTCTAAGCCCCTCCAGTCGTTCCACTGAAGGAGAAGGGAATCCTCACTGAACTGGAAGGCTTCCCAAGCAGAGGGATCCCTAGAAGGGGGCCAAGTTTCCATGAAGGATTGAGAGTCCTCCATCATCACTCAGCCTGCATGGATTGGCGGGAGGACAAGCGTTGCACTATAAACCGAGGCAATTATTTGCAAAGGGCTGGGAACGGATCCAGGGACAGTAAAGTGTTTAGAAAGCAGCTCAGTTCACCAAACCTGGACAACTTTAGAACTTCAGACGCTATTTACAAGCTCACATCAAGGAGCAGATGAAACGGCCCCTTCGGTTGCCCTGCGGTTCCACATCAAAAACAGAAAGAAAGAAAGAAAAGGGCGGGGGGAGAAAGCGCTTGTGTTTTTCTTCTTCTTTTGTTCTCCCATCTCTAGTTCAAATTACCAAAGGCTGGATCGAAGGGAGTTGTATTTCCACCTGTCTCAGGACTGTTTCCCCTCTCCCGTTCACCTTGCGAGCGCCTGTAACATGAAGCACCCAGAGCAGATGACGTGGGCCAGGAAGAGGCCGGGCGGCTGCTTTTGCTGGCCCTTCTCAAAGGCAGCGAGTACTATCACAAGCAAGGTTGCTCACCCTACCGATGGGCTGAAATGTACAGTCTCCCCTTTCCAAGGTCGAGCAAGGTTGCTCACCTTGCTCACGATGGGATGAAATGTACAGTCTCCCCTTTCCAAGGTCTCAGGAAATCCACGTGTGAGAATGGCAGGCTAACACACAGAGTGGGTGGACTCTGGTTTATGAGCAGAGACCCATTCCAAATGCTGCTGAATGGAGGGGAAGTCTGGACACCCTAGGAGCAAGAGTTAAAACGAATGACATGAGATCTGGAGCACTCTTGCATCCTCAAAGGAACATGTGTGCATGCTCGATACATAGTCCTTGGTGTTCATCCACCATCAGTCAGCTTCATGCCATGCCTTAAGAGTCTCCTCCACTGTGCCCCCCCCCAATTCCTTCCTGGGGCACAAAATATCCAAACAAGCAAGCAAGCAAACAAACCCATCATTTTAACAACAGCACTGCAGCTTATTCTATAATTTTATAGCTTAAAACATCACATTTTATGAGAACAGAATGCTAACCCAGAAGCTAAGACTCGTGATACTAACAAGTGTATGAACATATGTAAACGGGTGTCAGGAAAGGTTTCACAGCCCCTTGAACAGTTAAATATTTACAGAAGGTACAAAGACATGGACTTAGCATTTTGAGACAAAGATGCTTCATCCCTCTCCATGGTCCAGCTACCCCACTGGCCTCTGCGTTCATCTACCTGCAGGCAAACCCCAGATATTTGCACTGCACGCTCAGGACTAAGAACACAACTTGGAAATGATGGGAGTTTGATCTTTCAGATGGAGACCCAACAGTAGTGGAACCTGGGACTTCCGTCCTCTCTTGCGGCACCAAAATCTTCCGCCGGAAGGTTCCCTACCCGCCCTCCACAGCCGCCTTCTATCGGTGGGGTGGAGCTGGAGGAGGAAGGAAGGAAGGAAGAGGATTGGTTATCACCAAATTCTGGAGCGATCCAGCAGAAAAACATGAGCTCTTGGGCCAAAGGACCAGAACTGCCACGTTGTCTCTAACAAGACAGAACAACATCCTCTTGTTCTCCTGAAGTTTGGGGAAATTTAAAACACCCCTTTTGCTGGCGAACATCTGCCCAAAATATGAGAAACTGGCAGCTACAGCCTTTCAGAAAGATGAGAGGGCCTCTCCCTCTCCTACCCAGAGTTTGCTCACTCCCCTATCATCCCCCATCATCATTTTGAACCAAAGTTGAACGTCACCCTTAAAAGGAGGTTTTATCTGGCTGCCAGGAGGAATTATTCCAAACACACCTTTCCAAGAGACACAGCGCATGTTTTGACCGGGTGCTGGGTAAATAACAAGGGACTTATGAATCGACCCCTTACACGCATCCGAAGCCACTTCTTTTTCAACCTAGATTATGCACGACGGGGGTGGGGGTGGGGGGAGCCCTCACGCACAGAGAGAAAAACAACCCTAAGACATCCGGCTTTTTACAGCTCCATCGTACCAAGCGTACCAAGCGAGGGATTACTGGAGGCAAGCCCCCAACATGTGTGCTTCACACAAGCTGCACTTCTTAAGCTTTTGTGCTCACCAGAAGAGTGTTGACAATTTGTTCCGCCCACCCCATGTGATCTCTTTCTGTGATTCCATTCATAAAAATCCACTAGAACATCCTGGGGGGTTGGGGAGAAGAAACACAGGCTCAGAAATCCTTGTTCCTTCCTACTTGCAAACCTTCTGCATGTCAGCATTATATCCCGCTCAGAGCATCATCAAGGATTAATACCTGCAGTGGCCTCCTGGTTATGCACAATAGCCGGGTTTATGGAGGTGCAACAGAAGATTTTTATACCACCAGCTTCTTCTTCGTATCATAGCAAGAAAAGAGCAGGGGAGACATGGAGGCACTACTGTACCTTGAAGGCCTGTTGCCTGACTCCTGTTTTGAGATCTAATGGGAGGAAGTTTCTTCAGATTCTCATTTTCACCCCGAATGGCCTCCTTAGTGGGCTGGGATAGAGACGGTTTGAGGCTCCAAATACTTTTCTTCCCCCTTTGTATTTTCAAAAGGGAAATCA